GAAATCTGTCATTTTACCGTTTTTTTTTCGTCAATTTAGGTAATTTTTCAAGTCAAAATGAGCCATTTTTAGGGTATTTCGTCAAATTTAGAGCATTTTCAAGGGTCTTCCAGTCAAAATCAGGACAATTTTCCAGCTATTTCCAGCTACAAAAAGGCTGGTAATCCGAGTAAAAAGTCTCAGAATTGGGCTATTTTTATTTGTCATAACAAGCCCATTTTCAAGCGAGTTTTCAGTTCAAAATGAGCCATTTTCCAGCTTTTTCCGCTCTAAATTAGGTCAATTATAAGCTTTTTCTGGTGAAAATAAAGCTATTTTCTAGCTATGTATAGCTCAAAATGAGCCATTTTTAGGCCTATCATAAGCTTCGTTTAGGCCTGAATTAGGCAATTTCATAGATAATACCGGACTCTAAAATATCAAAAAACTCGAGTTTCTTCGCTACAAGATGAAAATGGCTCAATTTTCAGCTAAAAACCCTTATTATCTCATTTTCTAGCTATTTTCAGCTCAAGATCAGCTATTTTCTAGCTTTTTGAAGCTTAAAAGAGCCATTTTCAAGGTCTTTCCTGATTTAAATTAGGCCTTTAACAGGCTTTTCTTAGGCCTAAATTAGGCCATTTTCTAGCTATGCTCGCTTGGAAATTGGTCATTTTTTCGCTAGTTTTTCAGTTGAAAATGATCCAATTTCGAAGTTTTTGGCACAGATTAGGTCAAAATGAGCCATTTTCTAGCTTTTCCAGGCCTAAATTTGATGAATTATAAGGTTTTTTTAGTTGAAAATGGGCAATTTTCTATCTATTTTCAGCTCAAAATGAGCCAATTTCAACGTTTTTGGCATAGATTAGGTCATTTCGTAGGTTTTTTTTTCCGGTCAAAATGAGCCATTTATTGCTATTTTTTTGGTTTAAATTCGATCAATCATAAGCTTTTTCTGGTGAAAATCAAGCTATTTTCTAGCTTTTTTCAGTGACAATTAGAGCCTATTTCAGCCAAAAAACCCATATTATCTCGATTTCGATTTCTAGCTCAAAACCAGCTGTTTTCTGGCTATTTTAAGTTCAAAATGAGCCATTTTTAAGGTTTTTCGGTTTGAAAAGCCGAAAATCGCAATTTTCGGCTCAGAAAACGGCTGAAAATAGCGAAATTTCCAGGTAAAGCCACTCCCTCCCTCCCCAGCCCCTCCATCCCGCCCCCTTACCTTCCACATTCTCAAAATCGGGCGCCTGCGTCTCCTTGGTAATCTCCGCCAACTCCTTGGCCTTGCGAATCTTCTTCAACTGGAACACCTCCTGATCCTCAGCCTGTGGTCCCTCGTCTCCATCAATAATCATTTTAAGCTCTCTTCTCTTCAAAACCCTGGCTTTTGCCTTCAACATCTTCTTCTTTTTCTTCTTCAGAGCCGCTTTTTCGTCCTCCGATGCTTTGGCGATGAGCTCATCGATCTCAGCCATAGCCCGATCCTCAATTTGCTCCTCCGTCAGATCCTCCTCAATCTCTACATCCTGCGCTTCTCCTTCCACGGCTTTCCGTTCGGCTTCCAGAGTTTCCAGCATGGATTTTCGCCAGCGAAGGAGCACTCTGAGCTCTCGAGGACCCAGAACTTTGACGTCTTTCATGTATTCCACAACTTCTTCTGTCGTTTTTTCGTGGTTTTTCCATTTTGGATCGTCTAGAAGGATCACATTTGCCTCTCCCAGAATGTCTAGATATCCTGAAGATTTGATGAAATCCGAGGCATTGACCTTTGAGTGAATTGCCAGAGAATTGGTATCGTATCCCTCTGCCTTTGCCTTCTTCTGCTTCCCAATCAACATATTCTGGGGGTTCGGCTTCGTTCCCTCGGATCCATCTGGAAGAAATTCAAATTTGGGGTTATTTTAAGCCAATTTTCAGCATATTTTTGGTCATTTTAAGCCCCTCGGTTCATTTCGAGACGGCCCACGGTCCAAGGGTACATCGAGGGTACATCGAGGTCTTAGGGTACATTGGTTCTGAGGGTACATGGGATCTTAGACTGTAAGGCGTTTTAGCCTAAGCCTATAATTTTGAGCAGAAAGCAAAATGGTGTGTATAAAATATTGATTGACTTTTTTTGTGCACCTACATGCACCGAACCATCCAATGTGCCCT